TACTATTTGGATTCCAGCATAGCAGTTCATGTCTTGGCATTTTCGATTGAAGCTTTGTGAAAGTTCGGTGACATTTTCAATTGCAGTGCTATCGTGTCTCCAATTTAGTGGCATTTTCGATTAATCGATTGGGTCTTATTTTTCTACAAAAGTTTCGTCAAGTCATTTCTAGTTTGAGTACTTCTTTTGTATTAGAATATGAGGCTTGTCAATTAGGCAAGCATCACTGTAGTTATTTTCTGGTTAGTAACACAAGTCTTCAATCTAGTCATTTTTATATTGTTCACTCCGACATTTGGGGTTCTGCAAGAATAAAAAATATTTATAGATTTCATTATTTTTTAGTCTTTCTTGATGATTTTTCTCATATATGACTTAGTTGTTTTTTATGAAGGATTGTTCTGAGTTGCCTAAAGTTTTTACCACCTTTTATAATGGGATTCTGGTACAATTTGATAAGCGTATTAAAGTACTCCATTCTGACAATACTCTTGAACATGTACAATCATTTATGCATATATTTTGTGGTGATCATTGTACCATTCATCAAACTACATGTCCCCATATATCCCCAGCAAAATGTGTGGGAGAATGTAAGCATCACCATTTATTGGATATTGCTCGAACCCTTATGTTTAACGGGCATGTACCAAAGCTTTATTGGGTTAATACTGTTCTTACTATAGTGTATTTTATTAATCGGACGTCTTCCCCCATCTTATGTAACAAATCTATGTTCTCATTGATTTACCCTAATACATCTTTCTTTGGTCTCATCCCTCGTGTCTTTAATTTTATTACATTTGTTCACTTTCTTGGTCTAGATCGGGATAAACTTTTACCATGCTCAGTTAAGTGTCTATCTAGGATACTCTTGGACTCAGAAAGGCTATCGATGCTATGACCCTGTTTATCAATGATATTATATTAGTGCTGTTGTTACTTTTTTTGAGTCCTCTTCTTTCTTTTCTATGTCAGGACATGATCTTTCTCCAGATTTAATCTCCACTAGTCAGGGGGAGCTCTTGTTGCCAGTCGTTCCAAACTATGTGTTCCTCTTCGATTCTTGACCCTCTATTGCTAATTTATCATCGATCCACAAACAAATAGGTTGTTCCATATGCTTTAACACCCTGACCAATGCCTGATTTTCTTGAGGTTCTTCCTTCGGAGCAAATTACTGGATCACTGTCTTTTGATTTGCCCCATTACATTGTACAAAGATACTCCTAATTGTACCCAACATTCCATTTTTAATTTTGTCTCTTTGAATCGGCTTTCCTCATTTTTTCGATGTTTTGCATCAACCTTGTCTTCAATGTTTGTCCTAGCTTCTTGAAACATGCATTGACATCTCCTGGATGAAAACTGACTATGGATGTGGAAATTGAAGCCCTTCATGAAAATTACACTCGGGATCTTACTTTCTCATAAGCATCCTGTCAGTTGTTGTTTAGTATACTCCGTGGAATAACATCCTGATGGTTTAATTGATCGTTTAAAGGCATGGTTGGTTGCTAAAGGCTACTCCCAGACATGTGGTGTGTATTACTGTGATATTTTCTCTCATGTTGTTTGGCTTCACTCTGTTGAGATCTTATTTCTATTGTGGTCTGATGTGATTGTCTCTTATATCAGTTATATATAATGAATATTTTTTACATGGAGAATAAAAGGAGGTATATATGAGTCAACCTCCAAGTTATGTTGTTCCAGACTTCCAGTTAAGGAACAATTTGTGTGCTGGTTAAAAAATCACTATATGGCTTGAAACAGTCACCACGTGCTTGATTTGATAAGTTTAGTACAATGGTGCTTCGTTTTCAATTCTCTACTTTTGTGTTTATTCCTAACTTTATCAAACAAGCTTTATCATCTCTTGGATGAAAATTGGCAATGGATGAAGAAATAAAAGCTCATCATGAGAATCAGACATGGGACCTTGCTCTATTAGCTCCTAATAAGCAGCTTGTTAGTTGTTGATGAGTGTATATTGTGAAGTATCTTCCCGATTGTTCTGTTGAGCATTTAAAGTTGTGGTTGGTTGCTAAGTGTTACACTTAGACATATAGTGTGAATTATTGTGAGACCTCCTTAGTGCTCGTCTTAACTTTGTTCGAGTTTTACACTCTGTACCACTGAGTTTAGATTGACCTTTGTATCACCTGGATGTAAAAAAATAATTTTTTACATGAAGATCTCCAAGAAGAAGTGTATATGGTTCAGCTATTAGGATATGTTGTCTCTAGAGACGAGAATATTTAGTATGTCAGTTGAAGAAGGCATTGTATGGCCTAAATCATTCACTTTGGGCTTGGTTTGATAAATTTAGTGTGGTTATACTTTAGTAGGGCTTTCACAACTCTAATTTAGATCATTCTATATTTACATGCAAAACCATTGCAGATGTCATCGTTCTCATTGTCTATGTCAATGATATTATCATCAATGGTAATGACTTAGCTGATATTGCCCATTTTAAGGCCTATTTGGAAAGATAGTTCCATATCAAAGACTTAAGTCTCATCGGATGCTTTCTTGGCATTGAAATAGTTCAATCAAGGAGGGTATTTATTTGTGTCAGTGGAAGTATGTGTTAGATTTACTCTTTGAATCTGGTACCCTTGGTGTACGCACCCAAATGGATCCCATATTACATCTGATAGTGAAAACGGGGATATTTTTAGGACACGGTCTGTTGTTGGATGTTGGTTGGTGAGCTAATTTATCAAATACTTACATGTCTTGTCATTACTTATGTTGTTGGTGTTAGTGAGTTTGTGTATACTTCTCGTAAACCTCATTGGGAAACTGTTTGTGGAGCACCAAGTAGAGGATTGTTATTTCAGTCGTTGTCCCCATTTAACTGTTATTGAATTTTTTGATGTTGACTGGGTGGGCAGTCGGATAGACGGTCTACTTCTGGTTAGTTTATATTTCTTGGTTTATCTTGTTAGCAAGGATCAAAATGTCGTGTCGACACGTCCGAAACGTTTCGGAATTTCAACACTCCGAAACGAAACAGTAGTTGAATCACAAAATTCCAGTGTTTCGGTCGAAACGGTACTGTTTCGGACCGTTTCGGTCGAAACGGTACTGTTTCGGACCGTTTCGGTCGAAACGGCATTGTTTCGAACCGTTTCGACAAAACAGTGATATATTCGGTTCATTATGAATAATTACATTTAATACCCACTGTAATTACATTTAATACCCACTGTAATTACATTTAATACTCACTATAATTATATTTAATATCCCACTATAATTACATTTAATTCCCACTGCTCTTCTGTCTTTTATAATTTTTTTGTTATAAGAATAAATAATTACACTTAATACCCTACTATAATTATATTTAATACCCATTATAATTATATTTAATACATACTGTAATTATATTTAATACCTCACTGCTGTGCAAGTTTTTTGCTTTTTTTTTTTGTTATAAGTATTAACAATTACATTTAATACCCTAATGTAATTATATTTAATACCTACTGTAATTACATTTAATACCCACTGCAATTACATTTAATTTTTAAGTATACATAAGTATCATTAATTTAATTTGATACCCTTAATTATTAGTATTATAATAAAATAGTATTATTAATTGGATTATATTACCGTAATAATATGATTTGGAGTAACTATTATCATCATATTTATGTCACATATGGAGTTTCTCTAAGTAACTACCCAGAGCCTACACCGATGTATGAGCCTGCTCGACACTCCATAGGGAATGGATGTAACCATGTAAGTATGTACTCATTAGCATTTCATGTGTATTATAAGACCTTAATATTATGTAAAAATGTATTTATTTCATAAAAATTAAGTGTTTGAAACTAATTTAAGTGACTTTCGCCTCAAGTCAAGCCTTTTTTTCCCTCAAATTTAAATTTATTCTTGTATAAATTGATGTTAACCTAATAAATATGTTGAATTAATAAATTATTTAGCATATCTTTATAAATTAATGGATTGCATTTGTGTTTCTATGCGTTTCCATATTTTTTCTGCGTTTCTATTGCGTTTCCGAAATGTTTCCGAAACGTTTCTATTTTTGAGTTGACCGAAACGGTACTTCGAAACGAATTTTGATCCTTGCTTGTTAGTAAGAAACAAAATGTGGTGGCACGTTCTAATGCAGAGGCCAAATATCAAGCCATGAGTCATATTATATGTTAGATGTTATTGGTTTCGCTTTCTACTTTGTGAGATGGGTGTTGATGTGTTGTATCCTATGCAGATGCATTGTCATAACCAAACAACTATTTTTATTGTCAGTAATCCAATATTTCATAAGCGTACCAAAGACATCAAAGTTGATTGTCATTTTATTCGGGATCTCTTAATGCAAAATGTGAAAGGAGATCACCACTCCTTGTGTGAATTTTGGTGATCAACTCTGTAATTTTGTTACCAAACCATTGACACGGTCCACCTTTAGGAACCTTTGTTTCAGGCTAAACATTTTTGATCTTTATGCTCCGGCTTGAGGGGGAATGTTGAGGATTTGAGTTGCTTTCTTATTATGTTGCTTTCCTATTGTTGTAGATTTACTTTCCTATTATGTTGCTTAATATTCTTTCACCTTCGTGTGTGTGTGTGAGTATCAGTTTATGTGTGTGGACTTAAACTTCCTCAAATTTTTAGTTTGTAGCAGTTACTTCCTTAATTCATTGCGATCTGAAGTCTTGAGAAATCTTCTAGAAACATGATTGTAACTTTCTGTAGCTATTTTTCATAAATGAACAAGTTTCAGGACAAAATATAAGTTCGTAACTTGTCTTGTTGAAGAAAAACTCTAGTTCTGTTATGCTCCGCTTCCATTCATTTATCTTTTTAACTTTGTGTTTGATTGACTCTACTTTCCAACATTTTGGCATTTAGGTATTCGTTGGTGGACGCAGTCCCTGGTTTCATGCTATGTTGTCATTTTTTCCTTTGTAGTCATTCTTGCGCATGTCATATTTCAAATCATTTTGGCTATGAAGGGGGATCTATGGAGTTTAGGAGATGCTCAATGGGCAAAGCTGGTTGGTCTTGTCAGGTCAATACTGAATCCCACCTTCATCCTTCATTTTACCCCCTCTTGTGTTGTATCTTGGACTTTCAGTGAATGACATTCAATTTTGTTATTTGCTATTAAATTGTTCTGCACGTGCTACAATGGATGGTTTTGCAGAGATCAGTCCTGGAATCCTCCATCTGTGGTTTATTTCCTGTTCATACAACTATTAGCAGCTTTGGTTGCTCTTATAGATATATATGGAAGTAGCTCTTTGCTGGATCCCTCGAGAGACTCTTTTTTGCAGCACTTCTTTTCGTCTTTCAGAAAGATAGGTTTGTTAGCAACACAAAAATAAGCTATCATTTCCACATACAATTGATATTTGTTTAATTTCGTATCACACTTTTGGTGTATAATTCTATGTTCTGCAACTGTTTTTCTATGATGTTTTTGTATGCATAATTTCTTCCCATTAAAGCTTTAAAATGTTATTTGCTTCCTATGCTCCCTATTGTGTAGAGTTGTGTATTGGCCACTAGAATTTTCTTAGTGAACAATTTTGAATTTTTGATTTGACCAAAACGTCTGTTCCTTAATGGGAGAACTGATGGCCTTGGTTCATTGGACGTACAAATGATCTGCTGCTTTCCTTTTCATCAAACTCTTAACTTCAGTTAATTTTATTGGCCGGCTATGTCCTACACAATATTTTTGCAGAAATTTTATGCATTGCATAGTGATTCTCAATTAATTTTTTCTTGCTGCGAGGCAGGTTCCCATCTCAGGGTGGTGTGTTGCTTATTATTGCCTTCTTTACAGCTAGTTGTGGGAATTAGCCTTCCCTCGTGGGTTTCTCTACCATTTTTTATTTGTAGCTGCATTGGACTTGTTGATTGGTCCTTAACAAGCAACTTTCTAGGCCTCTTCCGGTAACTGTACTGTACTTCCTTTATTGGATGGTTTTAGCTGGTTATTTTAGGTTGCATTTGTTGTAACTGCATTCACTAATAAGCAATATTTGGATGGTTTGGAAGGTCGTGGAGATGTCTTTTGTTTTATTCAGGCTTGAACATTGTTCTCCTTTACGTATATCAGCTTCCATTTGAGTTCTCTACTGTGTTTCAATGGGTTGCTGATTTCATTGGGCTCTACAAAATCTCTACAAAATCAGAATGGTCGGAGATTTGTGCTGGTCTTTCACTTTTACTTTTCTACTTCATGGTATGCACAGCTTCACTCAGTGTTTGATCTTTGTCCAGTTGTTATCTTGAAAAATTGACTAGGTTGAAGTGAGAATATTGTCTTTTTTGTTCTCAACAATGGAAATGATTTCAGCTCATGTAAATTTTTTTATTTGTTCTTCTTTGGTTGGGACAAGACTTAGTTAAGTTGTAGTCTTTGTTTCCATGTGCCATTATAGTACCTGTAACCATCTATGAGATATATCAAATGAATTTCGTAAGTTATGAGAGAAAAAGGATCAAGTGACGTTATAAAAGATTGCCTTATACCCCTTGCCTAGGAAACATGGATACTTGCCGACGGAGACGTGTCCGACATGGCTAGAAGTATCTTAAATAAAAAAAACTTATTTTTTTTTTAGCGAACACGGTTAAAACACGACTAGGACATGACAAGATATATTTTTTTTTAATAACGACAGTTAACTACTAAGAGGGGTGTAGGATTTTTTGTTTTGTATTATGTTATGTGTTATTTCTAGACGAAGGGTAGTTTTGTACTTTGTGATTATAAAAGTTGGGTGTAGCTGTGTAACCTAACACACTACTCTATTACCATAATCTTGTCTCTTCTCTTCTCTTCTCTTAAACTCTAATTATTTCATAATTGAACATGGTATTAGAGCTGCGGTCTAGGGGTTCAAGTTGTCAGATTCATCAGAAAAATTCATTAGCATTCAGCAGGGGATATGCTAATGAACCAAAAACTTCAGTCAAGTCTAACATGTTGATGTCAGCACCCAAGTTGTCAAAATTTTTTGGAATTCTCATGGTTGATTCGAAATCATCTCCCGAGATATATGGTGATTTTTGTGGATTTTTTGGAGGCCGTTTGCTTGGTCGTTTGATTTTTTTAGACTTCGACTTGCGACCAGCAATTTTTGAGCCAATCTGAGACTATTTTTGATTCGAATCACTTCAGAGAGGTGCGATTTTGGTTCTTGTTCCAGGATTTTGTGTTGAGGAATCCGACTGTCCAGAAATTTGTTTAGCCACTGTTGAGGCCTTTCTTCAGGCTGAGGCATATTGGAAGTCTTGGCTATTTTGCTGCTTTTGTGACCTGCCACTGTGATTGTTTGACCCTATTGTGAGGATATGTCGTAAGGGAGTGTAACCTCTAGTAATTTCACTTAAGATGAGATGTAGACTCTGGCGTTTGATGACTCGACTTGATATTTCCTTTACCAGAGCTCGTAATCCTACTTCTTCCAACTTTGCTTATATAGATATATCTGCTAGTTTGTTTACTGCGTCATTCTCATGTACTCCTTGGATAAGAGATTCTAGAACCACAGATCACATGACAGGTTCTTCTAGTCTTTTCTCTTTATATTATACTTGTTCTGGTACATGAACATGCTACAAGATTCTTTTAATCCCTTTCCATTTAAACTAATTTGCTGATCATTTAAACCCCAAGGAGGTGGAAGTTTAGATGTCTGAAGTTACAATTTATGTCCCAAGAGGCGTTTATATTTCATTTGATGTACCACAAAAACACAGTTTTCCACTCTCAAGTGGTACTTAGTCTTGCCTTCTATTTGCTGCACTCGGCAAAATATAGTTCTTGATTTAGTGTTTCTTACTTCAGTATCTCCTTGCAGACTGAACTGGAATGTTTCCCCAACTTTTCAGCTTTCCTGCATTAGATGTGATCTTATGGAAATGGATATACTTGTCTCTACAAGAGAAAGTAGCTTGACCGAGCAGCTTCTTCCCTCTACGCATTCTTTTTTTATTCATGAATCGAGGTAATGCATATGATTTGATTCTGTTCTATTGATCCCATTATGCCATTTTCTTTCTCGAATCTCTTCCTAGTCCTAAGTAATAGTTAACTTGTAATTCTGTTTCTTTACAAAACTGAACTTTTGAATCTCATGCACATGATTTCCTTTTATTTTTCTTTCCAAAATCTTTGTTTAAGCATTGATATGTCCTTCAGATTATTTCCTCAATCTCTAGTGAAATCCTTCCTCAGTTATGAACACTCTTATGATTATAAGCAGCTTAGGTGGCTACATGATTTTTTTCATGCAGGCGAATGATTTCCTTTTTCACTAATACATTTTTATGCTTTTCAGATCTGGTGTAAGGCACACCAACGTTTTAATGAGGGGAGCCGTTTTCAGGATGTTTAGTATCAACTTTTTCACTTATGGTTTTCCGGTAGGCATTCAATTAGAACATAGTTTTTTTTTTTTTTACTTCTGGTTTTTCTAGTCTTCCAAAGACTTCTAAATTGTGTCAGCACAGATGAGATTCCTTTTCTTTACTTAGAGCCTTCAGTGATTAATGTGACAGATCTCCTTGTTTGCTCTTTCATTCTGGAGTTTCCAGTTTGCAAGTTTGTGCGCATTTGGATTACTTGCTTATGTTGGCTACATTCTGTGTGCTTTCCCTTCCTTGTTTCACTTGCACTGGTTAAATGGGTTGCTTCTTGCTTTCATTCTGTTGTGGGCCGCAAGCACATATGTCTTCAATGTGGCATTCACAGTGCTCAATAAGAAACTACTGAAGGTAATATCTGTTTGAATAGGTGCTGGTGCTCCTGCTAAATATGCGTCTATATGGATGAAGAATAATAACTCTCTTGCAGGATATGGCTATTTGGGAAACTATTGGATTGTGGCATTACCCTGTACCAGGATTCTTTTTACTTGCACAATTTGGCCTTGGAATTCTAGTCGCTATGGGTAATCTCGTGAACAGTACAGTTATCTCATACTTGTCAGATGGGTATGCAGAGACAGATGAGAATTGTACCATGGATGGTAAGAATACGACAGCCCATTTACCTTGTGTACTGTTATGTGCTACCTTACCTTTCGTGTACTTATTTTTTTTTTCTGCTTTCTGTTGAGCCATAAAGCATTAAATCCACACCCGTGGAAGGTGATGCATGGGTGGTGATTAATGATGATTAAAATGATACACTGTTTTTTTGAAGCGCATAAAAACATTGCTCAAATGCTAACACTTAAAAGAAAGATTTACTATTGAATTCATTGCGGCCCTATATGATGATTAAATTCACAGTAACCCTTTGTTTCAATCAACATGTTAGAAGTCCTCTACAGGCATTATGAAAGCTCAGTGATGCTAGTTCCACAATGTTACAACTAGGGTGGGTTAGTAAGTTTGTAATTAGAAATTATTATATCTTTTACTTTCACACATGAAAGCGGCTTTTAGAAGACGCTCAAGGTCATTTAGAAAAAGAATCACTGGGATGTCTGGGATCGTGAAGGTTTTACTTGACCCAAACCCAATTGCTTAACAGTGCCATGGCATAGGTATAACTAGAATGCTTTATAAAACTTAATGATGTAGGTCAGACAGGGACATTAGCTGTCTTTTAATGAATAAGGGAAATAGGGAATAAAATTCATTATATCTTCTCTTGGAGATGAGCATGGCCAAGAGTATATTGGAGCCGTGATGGACACTTGCCGCCCCTGAGCATGGGAATGGGAAGTGTGTCAGATATGCGCTAAGTAAGCGTATCCAAACATTCAAGTTTGTCATATTATTTGGTGAAAATAAAAAGGGTCTCATGTCGATAAGATGCGAATGATGAGAAACTAAGGCCTATTGATGCAAACAGAGGCAGAAAATAAAATGGTTGAAATATCAATCCAGCAAACTAGAGCAACAACACAACATGAAACATCTACAATCGATAGAGGTCCAAATAATATTACTTAATAGTTTTAGTACTGCAGGAAGATTTTTTGTTCCACTGGGTAACAACAGCAACTCAGATAAAATTGCAAGGATCAACTTTTCTCGGCTCTTGGAAAAATACCTGATTCTGAAACCTTTTTGGATTCTTTTGGAACTATCCATAACTGAAAACAGAGAAGAGCGACATTTGCCAGCCTATTGGTAGGTGTCGCGGTGCCGAATCCTCACAGCCCTTGCCTTGAAGTCCTGGAAACACCTAGCTGGTTTAGGAGCTATAGCTCTCTATCTATCCTAACTCCAAATCTTCAAAAGGAAGCCATTACAATGCTTTGTAGCGAAACCCTCTAAAGAACTACAAAATTCCTAAACATGTAAACAATGTTACTTCTGTGACAAAATATTCAGAAGACGCAAAATCCCTCACTTAGGTTCAGCTAGGCCAATTTAGGCTTGAAACTTCAGAATGATAACAACCCGCTGAGCCAGATTTTTTGATCAAATCACTAAAGGCATATATTTACTACTTTATAAGCCTACAACGTGCCATTTTGAACCCTCTTTGTAGCCAAAAAAACCATTTTGCTGTAAGCAAAAGATGAAAATAAAATAAAAATGATGCATGTTTGCTATCTCTCCATGTCTTTGAGTTTGGAGGTGAGACGAGTCTGAAATTTAGGTGCATATCCATTCCAGACACCTGTACCTAAGTGAGACTCCAATAACATGACTCAAACATTCTTAGCATCCGTTTCAGATACTGTTCCCTCTGTTTCTCTCTTTCTCTCAAGCTCTCTCTCTTCTCCTAACCCTAATTCTTTAACCCTCACAGTCTCAAATGACTTTAGGTTTTCACTGTCTTTGCCGCCTGCTACTTTCCTGTATTATCCATGTTTGTGTGTGCGTTTTGCCTATGCATCATTCTTTGGAAGAAATTTGGTAATAATGTATGTTCTTCTTCTAAGATCATCACATGGTATTTTCTTGATTGTTCATTGCATGTACGCTGTGGATATCTTTTGAGAGTGCTTGTTAATGTGATGACCACAGATGCCTATTGATTTTTTAGACACATTTTATATTGCATTTAGGGACACTACATTGGAAGACTGCATTTTATTTTAGGAAATTTCATATCGTAATTTTTTTTTATCTCAGTGCAAATTATTTCTATGAAATTCATTTTTATAAGTGGCCTCGTGGTAATATTGATTGATGAGCATTCATGCTTAAGCCTTGATGCAATTTTGTTTATGCAAAAATATTATTATATTAGCATTTCTTGAAAAATGTGTAACATACAGAACTTCAAAGATTATTGTTCTTACCTGTTCAAAAAAAGAAAAAAAAAAGGAAAAAGAATACTCTCTCATAAATGAGAGTTACCTTTCAATATCATATGGAGAGGCGGAGCCCTCTTTCTTTTTTTTTTTTTGGTCTTGTTCAAATTGATCCACTGTGGTATGATGAGGTTCTCTGGAAAACAGATCATGACATGCAAACCAAATTTCTGAAATGCAGATCATGAAATCTCTGAAATGTAAATCTATAAAATTGTCATTTAGGTATTCTTTCCATACTATTGAGAACCTTGTGAGGGAACAAATTCTTTGGATTTAGTTTCTTTATGGGCTTTATACATTGTCTCCTTTCATGCTCTGGTATGTTCGAATTCTAACATTCAAACAATTAGGGATTAGTTATATGAAATCAAGAAATCCATTCTTCCTGGATCCATTATGTCATTAAATTCTGGTTGATGTAGGTATTGGATTATGGTGGCTAGTTTTGATAGGTTTAGCATGTAAGCCTATGTGCAAATGTAGATCATGGCGACCCTTCCAGTTTTTAAACATGGAGATTTTATAGTCATAATGTCAAAGATAAGGTTTATTTTTGGGTAGGGGTGGTTTGCCCATAAAAACTTATAAATAGAATTAAGCTGTTAGATTAGTCATGAAATATTCAAACCAGTTGCAGTCAAACTATTTTACTTTTTGTAATATCGACAACCTGATAATTTAGTATCCATTTATTCAGTGTGAACTCTAGTTGGATTGTTAAACAATGAAATCATGTTTTCATATATGTTATCTTGTTCTTGCTGATCTAATTTTAGGGTTGACACATACTTAGATGGTTTATTCCTCAGCTTTTATTTATGATTCTTGCAATATTGGTGGCACAAAATTAACCATGCTTTTAAATTCTAGAGAAAGAGGAAGCAGAAGTATTGATTGTAGCTATGATAGCATGGGGACTTCGCAAAAGCTCTCGTATGATAGTGCTGGCGCTTATACTTTCCATTGCACTGAAACCTGGTTTTTTCCATGCTATATACAGTAAGTTGGTTTGTCTCTACTAAAGGCTACAATATGTGCTTATATATATAATGGATCAAAAGTCTGTAAGATCCCTGCCTTCGTTTATCTATGTTTTCCTGAAATCAAACTTCACCATTTTCTTTATTTGTGATTCAAAGTACAGATATAATGATTAAATTGTACTTACTGCTGCAAATTTGTGCTTCATACTTCAGTCATATTCTTTATGATTTACCTGTTGAGCCACACCATCAGTAGGAGGATACGTCAATGCCTGATTCTTTTTTGTGAGGCACACTTTGCCCTACTGTACATCCTTCAGCTGAGTTTAATATCAAAAGCCTTGGAAGAGAAAAGTTGGTTGGCTATGGAAATTCTCTCACAGTTAGGTAATCCTCTGAAGCCCAAATTTCCGATACAAATGGATGCTAGCATAATTGCCACAGATTATTAGGAAATGGGTTTAGCATTTTAACTGCACTGGACTCCTACACCTTTTGAATTATTGTAGGTCTTCTTGATCATGCTAGCCTCGGGGACTTTTTGAAGATTGCTGGGCTTGCCTGCTTTTGTTCCATTCATAATCACGGGGTTGACATGCTCGTTTCATTTTCAGCAATTGTGCAGCGCACTCCCTTCCCACCATTTGGGTGGAGCATTCTGAAAGCTGGTTTAAATAAATCAGTTCTACTGTCATTTTGTACTTCAATTTTCAGAGCAAGCAAGTGCTATAATTCTACCCATGGTATGATTTCATGAATGCATAAATTGGAGGGGGGAGGACTCTAATTAATATCAAGGCTGTACGCATAAATTTATTATTACATGTACACATTTATGTTCACACCTTTAATTACATAGGGCAATGCCTAGTTAGATGGTCAGGACACAGTTCAGGACCCATGGGATGATACACTTGGAATGGTTTGATTTTAGCGGAAGAATTTGGGTTGTAAACTTTTGGGAGACTTTAAGCTTAAGATTAAAAATCATCTATTGCATGCAGAAAACATCAGAGCAAATAAATTGGTTTTTACCTTATATATAATGAAGCTGGGATATATTAGTCCACCATTGTTGTTGCATTTTGTTAGGTTTAGAGAATGGAGAGAAACAATATAAGAGAGAGGTAGAGAGTAGTCAAAGAACTTACTCTACCTCTCACTATCAATTGGTATATATAGTTATCTAATAAAACACAAAAGACTAGCATATCCTTAGAGATATATACTTATTAAAACTATATAAAATATAATAATAATACTCTCAACACTTTTGATTTGTATTTGTCATTATTATTGTTAAAGGATTAGTTTCCTATTATGTTGCTTTTCTATTATGTTACATTCCTATTATTCTACTATACTTTCCTAATATTATAATTATCTTCAATATCAACTTGAATAAATAGGTGATAGGGTTTGCCAACACATGTCCCACACACAATACTATTTCATTTTCTCTTTCTCCCTCTGTTATTCTTAGGTTTTTTTTTTCTTAACCCTTTATTCAAGTTTCAACTTGGTATCAGAGGAAGATACTTTTGTGAGTGGGGCTCGGCCCTGAGCGAGCACCTCACTTGTCTAGTGTTTGGGTAGGTGCAACAAGTTGTAGTCTTCTGCATATTTACTAGTTATTGCCGTTGCTGGAATCACTCTAAGTTGCAATTTTCCTGTCGTTGGTACCTTCATCATTTGCTTATCAGCCGTTGTGATCAGTATCAGTTTGCCTGAATCCATGTTAATGTCTCTGATGTCTGATCATTGAAGCGGATTGTAGTGTTTTCAGTTCACGTTAGTTCAAGTTCAGTGGTTTTTCGCCTAATTGATGTTTGTTAGTGGTTTTTATCCCGGTTTAGTGTTTTCAACTAGATTTAGTATTCGTTCAGTGGTTTTCGGCACAATTATGTGTTGGTCGTGGTTTTCATCTCGATTCAGTATTTTCAGCATGGTTTATTGCCAATTTCAGAGTTTTCATCTAGATTTAGTATTGGTTTGTGGTTTGTAGCATTGGTTTAGCCTTTTTTTGGTTGAGGCTCTGCATGGTTTACCCTGTTTTCAATTGTTGCGGTTTAATTTGTTGTTGCATGTGGTTCATTTGTGCCGGTATTGTTGGTTATATTTGTTTGTGCCTTTGGTGGTGGTGTTGTGTTTGTCCGTTATTGTTCTTGTGTTCTTTTTCTATATGTTGTCGTGATTGTTGTTTACAATTTTTTATTTTGGTGTGGGGTTAATTGCTTCTATAAAAAACCTAAGGGATGTCTTAAACATTACATAGAGCAACCACTTGGATTTGTTGCTCGGGGGAGCATTGTGGTAGAGTGTGTAGATTAAAGGAGCATTGTGGTAGAGTGTGTAGATTAAAGAAGCCGTTAAATGGTTTACAACAGTCACCTAGAACTTGGTTTAATGGGGAGTATTATGGTAGTGTGTGTTGATTAAAAAAATTGCTAAATGGTCTAACGTAGTCACCCAGAACTTGGTTTTATCATCTTTATTGTCTACGTGGAGATATTGTGGTCAACTCAGTGATTTCCACACCAAACTATTGGCATGATCCACCTTTAGTAGCCCTTTTTCCAAGCTGGGCATTTTTGATCTCTATGCTCCAGTTTGAGGGAAAGTGTTAGAGTGCTGGTCTCTTATTGTTCTACTCTCCTAATATGTTGTTTTCCTATGGTGTTACTTGCGTATTGCTCTACTTTCCGATTATGTGGTTTTCCTATTATGTTTTACTTTACTAATATTGTGATTGTCTTCAATATCAACCTAATATAAGTAGGTGATAGGGTTTGGAAAAAAACAACCCTACCAAAATATTGTTTCATTCTCACTTTCTTCCTTTATTCTTCTTCTCTTTCTTTTCCTTACCTCTGTACAAATTTTCTAGTTTTCACTATTATCATAGTTTTTATTTGTATCATTACTATATTTTAAGTTTCTTATGATCTTCTCTATATTATATTGTTTTTATAATCATCTTATTATGGTCAACCACTGTAACAATAACCAAAATAACGACATCTAGGAAGCAAAGATACGGATATGGGATATTGGTATGACATGATACGGATACGAGGATGAGACAAAATCTCAAACTGCAGGAGACAGGTATGGTTAGCATACGTTTATATATTAGTATGTTATTACAACACTAGGGATATGAGCGATTAAGAAGTAAAACACATTGAAACTAAGATAATTTATGTTATTGACATAGAATTGCTTAATGGTGTTTTAAATTCAAGATTCTATGTAATTCTAAAGCTAAAGACGTTTTACCCTTTGAGAGTCCTCAACTTTTACTTAGCATTTAATTGCGATAGACTTCATTAGCGTTAACATAAGCCATAAAAACTCATTATTCACGTCAACCAATTGTAAAGAATTGAAAAATCTTGTGATATTGGTGATGCATGTCCAAATGAAAATCTTGAAATGAGGAATCACCATTTGTATGATTCAAGGTTTCTAAGCAACCCACCGCACTAAGTGTAAAGTGAATGCATTCACCATAGAGGTACGAGTATCCGAGGTGTATCCGACAAGTATCCAACAATGATCAATATTTTATTAATTATTTGATATGTGCGGGAAGTATCTGATAAGTATCCAACGAGATAAATCAACCAAATCAAAGTATCCGTGTTTCATAGAATGATATCATTTAGTCCTTTCTAGTTTATCTAATATCTCAAAAGAACAACATTAAATCAGGATTGGTCAGCTCTCTTGATCCATAGTGCATGCCATGGGAACTATCCAAATATCATACTTGGATTTGTTTAATATCTTCAACATGATAACGAAGCAATGTTTCTGATAAACAGGAGGTTATACAACTAATATTTTTCTTCTGCTTTTTCAGAGCAATGGATAGCCCTGTATCTGAGCGCAATAGGGCAGAAGTTTCTCTCTACATATCATTCCTGTGGAACATATGTTGTGTGTCTGACCATTCTTCTAACAGTTTACATAGTAATACCAAATTATACATCACTTGGTTACCTATTCTTTCTTCTACTATGGGTGAATGGAAGACAACTTGTCGAGAAGACAAGAAGGCGCCTCTGGTTTCCTTTGAAAGTTTATGCAGTTGCCGCATTTATTAACATTTACTGCCTGAGTCTCTTTGCCAGTTTTGAAGCATGGTTGTCTAAGATGATAGATCTTTATTCTGCCTTTGGCTATAACCCCACTGATTCAATGCTGAAAAAAGTATGGGCTTCATTGGCTGTTTTAGTTGTGATGGAATTATACAGCTATGAGAGGAGACTGAGCAAATCCTCGAAATTTGAGGATCTTGGGTCACCAGAACTTGGCACTTCTTCCTTCATGAAACGCCTTCTGATTTGGCATAGCGAAAAGATTTTATTCCTTGCCCTATTGTATGCATCTTTGTCACCAATAAGTGCTTTCGGTTTTGTTTATCTTCTTGGCCTGGTCATTTGTTCAACTTTACCAAAATCTTCTCGTCTACCTTCGAAGTTGTTCCTACTATATTCAGGATGTCTTTTGATGGTTGATTATATGTTCCAGATGTGGGGTGAGCGAGCTGAGATGTTTCCTGGTCAAAAGCATTCTTATTTGTCCTTGTTCCTGGGTTTACGGTTGTTTAAGCCTGGTTTCTATGGTTTAGAATCAGGATTGAGGGGGAGAGTTCTGGTTATTGCAGCATGTCTACTTCAGTACAATGTCTTCCATTGGCTAGAACAGATGCCATGCGATTATGGAAACAGAGGAAAATGGGAGGAACCCTGTGCTTTGTTTCACTCGACGGAAGAAAATTCAAATGGAGTTTCCATTTGTACCAATGGTTGTGAGCCTGCAGACGATGCTAGTCCAGTACTAGAAAGGAAAAAAGGAGCAGCGAGCAAATCTAGGTCTTCTTATAAGACATCTTATTTTCCGGATCCTGCTTCCTCTGAAACATCCATATTCAAGGGTGGTAGCACCACAAATTATTCGCACAGGTATATTTCGGGAAGCTTCAAAGATTCACATAGATGGAATAAAAAATGGATTCTTTCATTGAGAAAGGAGAGGCTTGATATGCAGAAGACCACCCTGAAAATATATATGAAGTATTGGATGGAGAATGTTTTTAATCTTTTTGGCCTTGAGATTATTATGATTGCATTACTTCTTGCTAGCTTTGCTGTCTTAAACGTCGTCTCTTTGCTTTATATAGCATCACTTGCTGCCTGTGTGCTTTTACCTCGCACTGCAATTCGAAAACTGTGGCCCATATTTGTTTTTTCATTTGCTTCTGTTCTCACTCTTGAGTACCTAGCTATTTGGTGGAATATGATATCTTGGAAGCAGCAATCCCCCAGTGAGGCTAAAGAGCCCTGCCATGACTGCTGGAGAACCTCCGATCTTTTCTTTGACTACTGCAAGAAATGTTGGCTAGGTATCTTTCTTCACTTTCATTCTTCATCTAAGCTTTATTCAATGTTATTGGAATCAATTTTTTGAGCATGCATTTTGAATACTGGTATTGCAGAATTTTTTGATCATGCGGGTAATGTGACATCCCAGAATCCCAACAACATTAATTCAACTGAAGTACTGATAGGAAATGGTAGACTTTTGTTTGCTTTGTTTTGTATTGCTCATCCCCAACTGCCCGCGTGACAGAAGTCTAAAGAGGGAGGCTTTATTACTATCTCCTCATGGCCATATGTTGATTCACTTTCCTTGCTTTTGTTTTAGATATCAGAAAAGTGAAAATTGTAGATGTTGCATTCTATCACATTTATGGGCTCCGGATGAAGCACGGTCCAGAGCCCAGTCACGCTTTATTAAAACTCGTAAGTGTCAATGAATTCTTTTATTACTGTATCTCAAAAAAAAAAAGAATTCTTTTATTACTGGCAAGGATCAAAATTTCGTTTTGAATGGTCGAAACATCCGAAACGTTTTCATTTATAAGGAGACCGAAGCGAATCAATGAGGGAATCGAAATTCTAATATTTTGAGGTGTTCTGTAATATTTTAATGCATTTGTACAATTATTTCATAATGTTTTAAGATATTTCATGATACTTTGGTATATTTCGACCAATATTTTGGAAAAAATTATTTATTTATTTTATTCTGTTTCTAAAACAGGTTGAAACGTTCCCATTTTCTATGTGACCGAATCAATGCATCAAAACAAAGTTTTGATCCTTGATTATTGGTGTACTAAACTCTTGAAAATAAAAAAAGTTGTGATTCATTTTCTTTGGTTGGTTGTTTCTTGCTGCATATGGACTGGGTCCAATATCTTCCCAGTGGCGGTTGGGGGTGAGCAATATAAAACAAAGCAAAACAAAAGTCTTCCATTTCCTAACAGTATTTATGAAAGTTTCTTATTCCTCAACCCTCATTTGAAGTTAGATAATTTATGGTCTAAATGACATTGTTTCTGTTTTGCGAGCAGGATAAATGACTTAAGTGGCTTCAAGTTCCATTATAAAAATTTTCTTTCATGCCATGAAACTTGCAACTGAATCACTATATTTCATGTGACTTGCCCATGACTCTCCTTTTACTGCAAAACAATCTCTTCGCAAATGTTAACTTTATGGTGGGACTTTTCTGCAGGAATTATAGTTGATGATCCCCGAATGCTTATTAGCTACTATATGGTGTTCATGCTTGCATGTTTCAAACTCCGTGCTGATCACCTGTCCAGTCCCTCAGATTTGCAAAGTTACAAACAATTGATGTCTCGATGTAAAAAAGAATCTTTCTTGAGTGATCTCTCCTTTGAAACAAAAAGCATGTGGACATTTCTTGACTACCTGAGGCTTTACAGTTACTGTCACCTGCTGGATCTTGTTCTTACTTTGATTTTGATCACAGGAACACTCGAGTATGACATTCTTCACCTTGGCTACCTTGGTTTTGCTCTGGTCTTCTTTCGAATGAGGCTTGAGATATTGAAAAAGAAAAACATAATTTTCAAATATTTGCGAATGTATAACTTCGGTTTAATTGTTTTTTCTCTGGCCTATCAATCTCCTTTTATTGGGGATTTCAGTGAAGGGAAATGCGAAACAAAAGACTACGTATATGAAGTGATTGGATTTTACAAGTATGATTATGGATTTCGGATAACATCAAGATCAGCACTTGTGGAGATTGTTATATTTATGTTGGTGTCACTCCAATCGTACATGTTTTCATCTCAGGAGTTTGATTATGTGTCAAAATATCTTGAAGCAGAACAGGTTGATGCCTTAGTGCGTGAACAAGAGAACAGAGCTTCTTGGAAGACTGCACAGTTGCAACACATCCGTAAATCTGAAGAGCAGAAGCGACTTCGCAATTTGCAAGTGGAAAAGATGAAATCAGAGATGCTTAACCTACAAATCCAGCTTCACAGCATGAGCGTCAATCCGAACTTTGGTAATACCTCTCCTGGAAGTGAAGGCCTCAGAAGGAGAAGGATGTCTTCTCTGAATTCTTATAAAGACAGTTGTACACCGGACAAAGAGGAAAGTGATTTAAAGAAGCATGACTTAAATATGAGTGTTGACTGTTTATTTCCTTTTGACTCAAACGAATTGCCAATTTGTGCAAGGAGTGCAACTCCACTGGGAGTGGACTTTGCAGGGCATTCAATGGACTCTCTTCAGGATATATCTGAAATAAAGGAGAAACTTTGTGATAATGAATTTTTGAATTTAGATGGAGGAGAAAAGGCAAAATGTCAAGTCAAGGAAAATCCGTTAGTTTCAGCAGTGCATCTAATTGATGATGGATTTTCTCACATAAAATCTCTGAGTAATACGGCCGTGACCAATCTCATAAATTTTTTTCATATCGAATCTGAAAAATTAGACTCCGATGGGAATTCCTCTGAGAACGAGGTTTATTATGAGTTAGAGAGTCAGAGTATAGGGGGAGATCCTTTGGACCAAACTTTGTCTGTGCTATCTGACAGTGAGAGGACTATGTCTGATGCTCTGTGCCTACGAATTGGTATCATATTCCATTACATGTGGGCACAAATGCGATCAAACAATGACATTGTCTGCTATTGTTGCTTTGTTCTGATTTTCCTCTGGAACTTCAGTTTGCTTTCCATGGTTTACTTAGCTGCTCTCTTCTTGTATGCTCTCTGTGTGAACACCGGCCCCAGTCATATTTTCTGGGTTATTATGCTAATTTACAGTGAGGTCTGTATTTTGCTTCAGTATCTCTATCAAATCTTAATCCAACACTGCGGGTTCAGCATTCATGTAAGCTTCCTTCAGGAGATGGGATTCCCTGAGCATAGAATCAAGTCATCTTTTGTTATGAGTAACTTGCCTCTATTTCTAGTGTATTTATTTACTCTTCTTCAGACTTCCATCACTGCAAGGAATGGTGAATGGGTATCAGTTACAGAATTCAGTTCTCTTAAGCGAAGGAATCTTTATCAGAAAGAGTCATTGGTAAGTTTCAGTTGTAGGATGAGGATACAGGAACTGCTTGTACCAGTAAAAGATGTGTCTAAACTGATGATTAGAAGCCTATATAGGTATTGGAAGTCAGTAACTCATGGAGCAGAAACTCCACCTTACTTTGTCCAGCTGTCGATGGACGTTGACTTGTGGCCTGATGAGGGGATTCAGCCAGACAGAATTGAGTCAGGAATAAACAAGTTGCTCAAAATGGTTCATGACATCAGATGCAAGGAGAAGAAAGAAAATCATTTCCATTCAGTGAGCAGGCTACGTGTTCAAAGCATTGAAAAAAGTCCAGAAAACCCTAACATTGCTCTTGCTGTTTTTGAGGTGGTATACGCATCCCCTTTGACAGAACATATTTCAAGTGAATGCTACAAGTCACTAACTCCCGCAGCTGATGTAGCCAACGAAATTTTATACGCTCAGCAAGCCGGGATTTTTAAAAAAATAGGTTTCCAATACCCCATACTCTCGGTGATTGGGGGAGGGAGAAGGGAAATCGATCTGTATGCCTATGTGTTTTGTGCAGATTTATCTGTTTTCTTTTTGGTAGCCATTTTCTACCAATCAGTCATTAAAAACAACAGCGAGTTTCTTGAAGTCTATCAGTTAGAAGATCAATTTCCCAAGGAGTTTGTATTTATCTTAATGGTACACTGCTGTCTTTTTAATGCATTCTCAATAGTGTACAATGTAAAATTCGGATATTAAGCTCATCTGCTGTGTTTTTGCTCTATTGTGTAGTTTACATGTCATTTGAAACTACAAATCCATGTCATTTTTCTTTTTAATGCATTCTCAATAATGTACAATGTAAGATTTTAAGCTTAACTGCTGTTTTATTTCTTTATTGTGATTTACGTGTCATTTGATATTACAAAACCATGTGACAACCACAGAAGAATTGAGAACTAAGACCAAAATGATGTTATGCATTCAGCTTTGTGTTCATGAATAATGATATCTGAATCTTTTACCATTGGTTCTGATGAGAGCTTCTGCTTTCTATATAGGCTCCATCATGATGCAGTACTTGCATGAAATGTAGAGTGTAAACCATATGGACAAAACATAGTTCCCATTGTATGTCCAAACACACCCCTTGTGAAATGTTTTCACCGAGTGTTGATGTGGCTCTGACTTGGATGGTTTGTATGAAAAATACCAAATGTGCTATGGAATACATTTTCGTACTGTTGCTAACACATTTCAGTAGTTGAGTCCCTTAGCAGACTTGCAGGAAAGTTTCAAATTCAGGATCAGTCAGTTCAATGCATATTTTTGTTTTTGCCTGAAATATACCATATTGAGTTATTTTTCTAAAGTGGTTAAAATTTTCACTCTTGCAGATAATCTTTTTCTTGATTGTGCTTGATCGTGTAATCTACCTTTGTTCATTTGCTACGGGAAAAGTCATCTTCTATCTTTGTACTCTTATCCTGTTCACATATTCAGTGACAAGATATGCTTGGAACATGGAGCCTTCGCACCAGCATGCCGGAGGATTAGCTCTTCGTGCTATTTATCTCACGAAGGCAATATCCCTGGCACTCCAGGCCATACAAATCCGCTATGGGATTCCCTGTGAAAGCACTTTGTATCAGCAGTTTTTGACAAGCAGCGTATCACAAATTAATTATCTGGGTTTCCGAATTTACCGTGCTCTACCTTTCCTTTATGAATTACGATGTGTACTGGACTGGTCTTGCACATCCACATCTTTGACCATGTATGACTGGTTAAAGGTAAGTCTCTTGCATTTTTTTTCTTTTTTTTTTTTTTGTGGAAGTTTGTCTTGCTTCATCCATGATCTTTTGTTGGTTTAATATTCAATCATTGTTTCGATCTTTTTCTTGCATTGTTATTGTCATTTGTAATAATTTATTCAGCTATCATCAATTCAAAGCCTAAATGTAAGTTTACCCATCCAGATGGTTGTAAAGGTCCTCTTGGTAGTTTAAGGGTTTTGTCTAGTGTCTTTTGTTTTTTTGGTGTGTCCTACGCTTCGTTTCTCTCTATTAAGTTATAGTTTTTAATCAGGAAAAAGAAAAAAAATAAAATAGAAACCTTTTGAATTCCAACTACTTTATGCCACCATCATCTTTATTGTTATCAGCATGATCCTGTTTACAACTATTATCAAAGATTTTCAGTTCAGTGTAATAGGATGTGTAATATGAGCTAAGGAAGTCACCACAAATTTTTGGAACCTTTTTAAGGCAGTAGTTAAAACTACCCATCACTGGATGGTGTCTTTCAAGGATTCCTTACAAGTATCCCAAAACTCAATTCTCCAATTACCGATGTGACAGACTATGACGTGCCTTGAATTATCTCGTAAGTGATGGAAACAGTAATGTTGTACTTGGAAAGGGTTTGGATCACCATCCTGGAGGTTTAGGACTTGTACTCCAAACTCCCTTAGGTAAGTTAATGATTGTTTTTGTGTTGACTCAGGCAGGTTCTTGAGAGCAGCCCTGATGCAGGAAATGTGAAGGAAAACAATTTCCAACGGTTTGAGTCACCGAAATAGATGTTTCACAGGAATAGGATATTATCATCTGTACTGCAAGCTTTGTAGGGTTTGTAGGTGTCGATTTGAGGGCCAAAACATAAAGAAAATGTTAAGTTTGACCAAAGCTTATTCGCATAACATTTTGGAGTTCAAAAGTAAAGGGTTTGGAGGCTATTCAGGTTACTATTCTTGTGCTGTAAACAGTAACATGTGAGCATTATTTTTTAGGGTTAAAGATTCCAAGAAGAGTGATTGGGATTTGCAATATAGGATTTGTATGGGTCAAAGAATGGTAATTCACGTTTGTTCATAAGGATATTAGAGCTTAAGAGTGCAAGAAAAGAAGAAGAAAAATGATGATGATGGTGAAGTGGAAGATAGAGAACAATAGATGGAACCGTCAGTAGGGTTAGCATAAAATCAACCATATTGAATGAGTGGGATTACAAGGTTTTGTAGGCTAAAAGAGTCTCCTACTTCTACAATGATTAAGGCCTAAGAGTCAGAATTTAGAAACTACCAATATCCAACAGTTATCAAAATGATCAAAATACTTTTGAGACTCAAATATTTGTCAAGACTCTACAAACTGCCGTGGACATATTTCCTTTAGACTAAAAATACTCCTTGCTTACCGTGAGGCCCATAGCTCTTGCTTTAGGCTTCCAAAGTCTGGTATTTGCCCAACCAATCGGTAGATGTTGCATCAAGGGCGCTCTTGAAGCTTATGCAGCTACAATGGGAAAAAGACTTATTTCATTGTTTAGCTTCTCCAAAGCAAAATCAAAAGTTGGTTTTTATCTATTTTCTATTTCATCCATCTGTTATCTTTGATCTTTCCCTTTAGCACCAAATACTTTTCCAAGTTTAGCTTTCATAGTGCTTCTTGACACTCGGAAACCTAATTTTCGACTACATTTTAAAAAGTGTAGATTTGTATAGGTTGATGCCTGCCATAGTGCAACTAATGACTAACTCTCATTAAGTTTGAACCCCATATTCTCTTTCCTAGGATCCAAGTTCATTTTTACCCTAAAGTTTTATCAAATGAGTAGCATCATTTACTTATTCCCTATTCAAACTGAAATAAGGCTTTACTGACAACAATTAATTTACAACCCCTTTAAAACCATAAAAGGATGTCTCTAACTTTAAATGGTCGAGTTGTATTAATTGGGTTTACTTCAAAGTAAAAGTGAAGGGTTCACTTGTTTCAAAATATTCATAAAGTGGTGAGTACTCAGTTTGATGCTAAAATAAAGATTTTTGGAGCAATAATGAGACCGAGTATATTGATGGGAAGTTTTGTGCCTACTTAATGAGAATGAAATTCATTAAAGTACTTGTTTAAGTAGCCCTAAATGGAATAGTGCTAATGTAAAAATCACAATTTTCTTGAGGTTGCTTGTTTTTTGGTAGTTACCCTGAGCATCCCAAAATCCTTTTGGTGAGATGTAGTTCTTATTGGTCCTTATCTCTTTAATCGTCTACCCTCAAGTATACTTCAATTTAAGTAACCTATTAGGTTCATCTAAGGGACTTCTTCTATTTTTTTTTCCATTTCTTCCCTTTTTACTAAGAATTTTGGTTATCTCTATGTTGTCATAATTACATATCATTCAAGGGGAAACTTAACTCATAAGGGTTTGTAATGTGTTTTCATTAATTATTCTGCTACCTAGAAAGGGTAGAAGTACTAATCGTCCACGGTCTCAAAAAGTGTATGTTAACGTGCATGAACCATGTCTTGAATTTGAGTGTTTTTTACTTCCTAGCCATCTCTTCAGGGGGACAACACCACTACTAAGCATGGTTCAAAGTTGTGGTATTAGTCATCGACTCGGAGGGTATTGAGCCATATTGGTTGTAGCGCGGTATTAGCCGATACACTCAAAACGCTATATAGAAGTTTCAAAAAAATTTGAAAAAAAATCATGAAAAATTCCAAACAATATAAAGATCTTAATCCAACAATCATATCCGCAAAATGTATTATTTAACCCATCAAACATAATTAAAAAAAATTATAAGGGCGCTACTGGTAATTGTTTAAACCTTTTATTACATGTGCTATAAAGTACGTGTAATACCTCGTCCCATTTTGACAAGGAACTAGTTAGTGAATATTATCTTGAAAGGAATAGGAAAAATTTTAAAGAAAAATTTAGAATAATCTAAAAGGATCTAGAATGTTGGAGAAGTTTCTAGAAAGTTCTAGAAGATTCTAGAATGTTGAAGAAGTTCCTAGAAGAATCCGGAAAGTTCTAGAATATTTTAGAAGGTACTAGGAAATACTAAAAGGTTCTAGAGGAATTTAGAATGTTCCAGAAAGTTTCAGAAGGATTTAGAAGGTTAGACAAGGCTAGAATATTATTGATTATAAATGAATCTAGATACTTGTGGAATTGCCATGTGCAAAATAAGTTGGAAACCTAGAAGGATATAAGAGAGGGGAGATGGTAGAATATTCTAGGGAATCTCCCTTAAAAATGTCGCATCTCAATATTCTTTAGAATAATTTTAGGATGACTATAAATAGGCATTTGGGGATTGGATTAAGGATACTAGAGCACAAGTAGTCTTCCACTTTCAAGAAAGAATAAAGAGTAAAATAGAGAAGAAGGAAGGAAGAATACTTCATCAAAGGAAATTGTGAGAAAAAGAGAAAAGGCATCAATAACATCTCATTCTACTTCGGGTAACAAGCAACACTCAAGAAGTATATCATTCTCTTTGGACTTGAGGTGAGTAATTTGACATGCTACGTATTTTCGAAAATTTCCTGTATCCCTAAACATTTTAAAAACAATACATCATGCTTGTTCATTACTACCTTTACAAAATGTTTTACTAAGTTTCTAAATACTTGTGGCATACGATTCTCCTTATGATGAATTCTTTTGTGAAGTACTGTGACTCAATCACTTGTTTATATGGTGAGACTTAGTGATGGTAAATGAGACCAAACTTAAAAGTCCAAGGAAATTATTCCTCAGTGTGCGGGTGACTCTGGCTACTAGGGAACAGACCCGGAGGAGGTTGAGGTGACCCTAGTGCTCAACGGTTGAAGGAACAGTGTCTGGTGCGTTCTGGTGACCTTCACCGGATCGTCTTAGGGAACAGACCTGGGAGAGGCTGTGGTAACCCTAAGTACGATGTTGGATTCAACCCTGAGATATATTTTGGTATTTGGTATTTGGTTCCCATCGATTATTGTATATCGTACAGTCTCCACCATTATGATATGATTTACTGTTGTGGTAAGATTTCTTGTTAAAACCCGATTGTGTTATTCTTGAGAAATTGGTTATCTTGATGAAGTTATTTTTCCAAATCTTTGATTTACATGTCGTATGCCAAAAATGTTTTTCAGCCACTTTGAATATGCATGCCTTTCCATTCACTGGGCTTTTTAGCTCATGTTTTCAAAATAATATTTTTTTAGCTAAATGATTGGAGTGTTAATAGCGGATTCAGGGAATTGATTGGAGACTAATAGTGTTGTGACCTCCATAACATATATCGTATAGCCCTCTTTACTTGCATTTGGATAATTGGGGCAAACAGGTTTAGGTATGTTGACTTTAACATATTGATATGAGATCAATTTAGTGTTAATGTTATTTTTCACTCCTATATTATTAGTTTATTGTTAGGCTTACGTGTTGTATAGGTTATGGATCTATGGTTTACGGCCGCTCATGCCCTTGGAGTTGGGGTGTTACAGTACTTGAGATAAAAAAATATAAATCATAAGAAATATTAAATAAAACTGACCAATGGGATTGATAAAAAAGGGAAAAAAAAGCAATTGACACACTAGTGGGATTGTGAAATAAAAAAAATAGAAAAAGGCAATGGATTGACCTGATTGTGAAATAAAAAAGGATAAAAAAAAAATAAAAAACACAATGGTCCACCCAACTGTGCACAATATTGTAAGGCACAATGACCCAGGAGAAGATCCATTAAATTCAGATGAGAGAGTGAGAGATCATGAGACAGAGAGAGAGATTGCGAGACTAATTGAGTGTCTCCGCTTCGATGGTCTTTGTTGTGATTGCCGGTGGGTTTCCCAGTTTTTAGGGTCTCTTGCAGTGACCTTCTAAGAGGAAGAAGAAGAAGAACAAAACTCCTTTTTCTTACGTAACTGTGTTGGTATTGTATTTGGCCACTTTTGAGGCTTATACAAATTGGCCGATACTTTGAACTGTGCGATTAAGTTAGAGGTATCATGTAAAGAACATCTTTTGTGTTTGCCTATTTAGTGGGATACGAAGAATGGTGGGCAAGCAACAACATATTGAGGGAAAAAGGGATAGTGCTGGTCCATCTAGTGATTGCTTAGACAAGAATGATTTGAAGACTTACTTTCGCCAAAAAATAAAAACTATCCATGGGCCATCGAGTTACATTCTAAATTTTGGTTTCAACTTTTTCTACTTAGTTAGTCAAGCAATGAACTTAATCCAACTACTCTTGTCATTGATAATCTAGTTGTTAATGATTCTAAGTGTTTAAATGTTGTCTTAAAGGGCGTTAGAGCTTATACTTGACTCCCCATCTCTTATAATTCCTTATTGCTATCCTATCATGACATTGTTCTCTGTTTCCTACCTAAAGAGAAGCTATGTAAAAAAGACCAAGTTGATGACAAAGAATGACACCTAGGAGTTGGTTTATCTTTATGCTAGAAAAGCATAATAGTGTACAAATGGGTCTTCACGGTTAACAAGGATGAAAATTTTGTTTCAAAGCGGTCGAATTCCAAGGATAAGAAATGATCTAGTGATTACATGGAAATTCTAATACTTCGAGATATTTTAGTTTGTTTCTACCATTCTTTCGAAATTTTTTGAGGTGTTTTAAGATATTTCAGTATATTTTAATAAATGTTTTGTAGATAGATTTCCAAAATCTTCATCCATTTTCATTCTATTTTTCAAAAACGTTTTGTTTCTAGGTGACCGAAATAATGCACTGAAACGAAATTTTGATACTTGATTATTAAACAACAT